AGCCACCAGCAGTGATCATTGTATTCTGCCGATGGGAAAAGGCTAACAGCTGGCAGAACACAATAGCGCTGTGGGAGGGATTCCTCACACTGTGTTGATGGGGAAATATAGCAATTTTCTTCCCTCCAACCAGTGTTAATTTCGTTGATGAAAATATTTTTGTTGATTCATGTTTGTTAAAGAAACTAACATGATTTATTTTGACTAAACTACAACAAAAACTAAAATGGCATTTTAATCAAAAGACTACAACTAAAACTAAATCGAAATTTGACATCAAAATTAACACTGCCTTCAACCTATGGTTGAAGGAAAGACATTTTTTTCGGTTTTGACCAGATTTGAATTTTTTCAATGGATTCAAAGTATTTGAATTGAATTCAAATTGAAAATATCCAGTCTGAATTCATTGTTAAGAATAGCTGGTTCTATGTTATTGGAAATTCGAATTTCGAAAAGATGGCTATATTTTTATTTATTTTATTCTAGTCTATTATAGTCTATTCTATTTTTTCCTATTCTGTTCTTTTTTCTCTTCTACTCTATAATTTTATATTCTATCCCAGGCCTTGATTTTTCCACTCGCCTGCTCGCATTTCGTGAGTAGAAATAACATTGAGGCGAGGGCCAGATCGATCAAACAGCCGATAGATATGGAGTGGGGTGCCGGCACCAGAGGCGGAATAACCTTTCAGGCATTAATCACACTACCCAAGGGCCCAGAGTCCTTAGGAGGTCCTATGACAGGCTCCTGAAAGGATGGGGAGGGGCCGCAGGGTGGATTGTGCAAGCGTGCTGCGAGTCCGGTCCAGTGAGAGGAAAGAGTGACTGACAGAGCCCAAGGAGGAGGAGAATCCACAGACTGGTGAGCATGTAACAGTGAGAGGAAGGGGGAGAATGGTCTGTGACAGGAGTGCTGAGAAATGGAGTGTGACAGGCTGTATGTGTGTCTGTATGTGTGTGTCTGTATGTATGTGTCTGTGTATGTGTGTGTGTCTGTATGTATGTATGTATGCATGTGTGTGTGTATGTATGTATGTGTGTGTGTATGTATGTATGTATGTATGTGTGTGTGTGTGTCTGTATGTGTCTGTGTATGTGTGTGTGTCTGTCTGTATGTATGTATGTATGTGTGTGTGTATGTATGTATGTGTGTGTGTGTGTATGTGTCTGTGTATGTGTGTGTGTCTGTCTGTATGTATGTATGTGTGTGTGTCTGTCTGTATGTATGTATGTATGTATGTGTGTGTGTATGTATGTATGTATGTGTGTGTGTGTGTGGTGGTGGTGTTGGGGGCTCTGTATTCACTTTATGTAGCAGGGGGCCCTGTGTGTGATCCGGGGGGGGTGCATTGTACCATAGCGGAGACCACGTGTTCTAAGAGGGGGGTTGTGTGCTCATTATAACCTCAAATTATGGGGGGATGGTGCCATAATTGTGAGTAGCAGAAATACCAATCACCCCCTTTTTTGCCCCCTTCACCCCTCTTTTTTCTCTCATTCCCTTTCTCTCTCTCTCACCCCCTTTCTTTTTTTTTAAAAGGGGGTAGAGGACATGGCTATGGGGGGGGGGTGAAGGAGGGTATATATTTATTTCTGTAACTGTATTCTGCATAAAACATTTAACAATGTCATTTAATGAGAGAATGTATGAGGGCGTGTTTAGGGGAGGAATTAGGGGCGTGGCAGGGTAGCGCTTGGGTGGGCAACTGGTGGCGAGTAACTCTTAAGGCCTGCTAGTGGCTCAGGACTTGAAATTTTAGGCCTGTTCTATCCTATTTTACTCTATTCTTTTCTGTTTTATTTTGTTAAAAATTAAAATTTTGTAAAACGGCTCTATTCTATTTTTATTCTATTTTAATCTGTTTGAAATTCAAATTTCGCAAGATGGCTATATTCTATTTTATTCTATTCTACTCTTTCTATTCTTTTATTTTCTATTCTATTCTTTTCTAAATTCGCATTTCGGAAGACGGCTATATTCTTTCCGTTCTAATCTATTCTATTTTGTTCTATTCTTTTATTTTCTATTTTATCTTCTATTCTATTTTACTCTATTCTTTTCTATTCTATTTTATTCTATTTCTTTCTTTCAAAATTCAAATTTTAGAAGACTGATATATTCCATTTTATTCCTTTCTTTTCTATTCTTTTCTTTTATTTTTCCAGTCTATTATTTTCTATTATTTACTATTCTATTCAAATCTATTCCTTTATTTTCTATTGTGTTCTTTTATTTTCTATTCTGTTTTATTCTATGCTACTCTTTTCAAAATTCAAATTTCGGAATATGGCTATATTCTTTCTATTCAAATCTATTGTAATCTATTGTATATTTTGCTATTCTATTTTATTATTTTCTATTCTATTTTAATCTATTCCTTTATTTTCTATTCCATTCTATTTTCTTCTATTTTTTTTTTAAATTCGAATTTTGGAAGATGGCTATATTCTAATACACACAGTCTTTGCAGGAAATCAGCAACAGTCAGCAATATGTTTACATTTGGAATTGGTTTTCGAATTCATATTCGTTTTCAAATTTGATTCAAATTCAAATTTCATTTAATTATTTTGGATTTGTTTAAATTAGTTGCTATTGCAGTTTGGAAATTTGGATATGTCCGTATCTCCGATTAACAAAACTTTTGTCTGAATTTCAATATGGCACGTAACGAACCACACATGTCTAGTGCGATGACCCTGTTACAGTCTCTGGCTACTACCTCTCTGATAGCAACAAGGAGAACGCTCAACAGAAAACACTTGGATTGGTATAGTGGAGTGCCTGATATAAAAGGTAATATCATTTGACAATTTATTTGAAAGGTTTTTAAAGGTAACAGGTAAATCCAACACGTTTCAGGGGAAAGACTTCCTCTTCCTCAAGGCTGGAATAATGGGTATAATTGGAACAACAATGAGACTTAGCTCATTACAAGTTGTCAGATGTTCTCGTACTTGCAGAGTGGTGGCATCAGAGGAGTTCCCTCTTTCATCAAGGTCCCCAGAGCCCCCTTTACATCAGAGTCTACCTTAGAAGCTCCTCTGTGGTTCAGAGTCCCCATTACAGCCCACAGAGTGTCCACCAGAGTCTCTCCTTATGTCGTTTCCCCTCAGAGCCCCCCTTACATTGGATTTCCTGTCAGTGGTCCATCCTTTTCTTGCTTACAGAGCGACTGTAGTCAGTGTACCACAGGGAGGGAGGAGGAAGAGCAGGTGTGGCCATAGGAAGTCCCATTCTCTCTCTAGGGCAAGCACATCATTGTTTGACAGGAGGCCGGCAGTCCTCTATACCAGTGTTTCTCAACATTTTTCAGGCAAGCCACCCTTTAAAATTATGGACAGTCCCAAGGCACCCTTTAAAATTATGGACAGTCGCAAGGCACCCCCTTCTAAAATGTGAAAAACTATTCTAATAGTTTTATATAACACAGCAACATCCACACATGTAGGACACCCAACATTGTAGGTGACAGAGGCAGACTGACAACTCATGGGGCCCCCGGGCAATAGGGGATCATGGGGCCCCTGTGTCCTTGCCCAAACTCAAAAAAGCCTATGAAAAAGGTACCAGGGGCATCTCATGGGGCCCCCTACTGACGCCGGGCCCTCGGGCAGTGCCCGAGATTCCAAATGGTCAGTCTGCCCCTGGTAGGTGATTTATTCTTCCAAAGCAAATACACTTTCACACACTGGTACTGACTAGTATTCCTGTGTTTCTCTTCTCCCTCAGTTTTTCTTCATCACTGAGCTAATGTGACCCCAGTATTGATGGAGAGGGACAGGGTAGGGTCAAACTAAGATGCTGTGCTGGCAGCTGACATCCTCCTTATCAACTGATGATATTGTTGGTTGTCAGGATGCCAGCGGCTAGAAGTTCGTAATGGTGCACAATGAAAACCTATGGCTTTGTGTAACTAAAAGGTATGATTGTTCCACCTGCTGGCTTGTATGCAAGTTTTGGGCAATTTTTATACATTTTGCCACGGCACCCCTGAAGAAACCTCAAGGCACCCCAGGGCGCCTGTGCACCCTGGTTGAGAAAGGCTGCTCTATACACTGTCTGTTTCCTTCTGGGGAGGTTTCTTTTCCCGGAAATGCATCAGAAAGTAAGGGAAATTTCTACAAAATGAAGGGACTCACCCTCGTAGGCAGTTGTCAAGGGTATGCTCACTGGAAAATTCTGGTGACAACTATAACATGTAGAATTTTCCATTACTTTCACGTCCAGTGACAGTGGTCATCACCAGTAAAGATAGAGCAACAAATCTGAATAACAGGCATACAGACAACAATTAAAACTTGCTAAATGTGCTTACCTTTCCCCACTTCATCCATAACAAAATAAAAGTTTGCACTATATGTACACTTTAAAGCCCAACTCCAGCTAAAAATTTTTTGTGTGTTTTGGATATGGGGAAGAGTAAAAAAATCAACAGTAAAAATATGGGAAATAAGCTTGGGGGTAATTGCCATTTGTTTGTATAGGAAGTGTGAAACTCATGAGCCCCTTCTCCAGCTCCCTCTTCACTGTACCTGTATGCCGTTTTATGCATCAGAGTAATAAAAGGTGGTTTTTTGGATGTACAGCTGTCCAAGTCCTCTTTCCATTTACACAATTGCAAGCTGAGCCATCTCTGCCCTTTCTTAACAGCATTCCTGCATGCTCTCATCTGTACAGGTGATTTTTCAGGCAGGATGTCCATCTAAGATACTGTAACAAATTTTTTAAAATGTTTTGCTTTAAAAAAAAAACTTACAATGAGGGAAAATACAATGAAAATACAGTGAGCCATAATGCCTATATATGAGTGGTGTTCACGTCAATCTGGGACTTTGCATTTTATATAATAAAAGAACACAATTTCAGGGAGTGGAAACTGCATTTATTTTTCAACATACTCCCCTGCTACATATATATATATACATATCCCAGCATTTAAATAATGCCTGGAAAGCTTCAGCATAGAAAGATTTGTCAGTACGCCTGAATCATCCTAGAACAGCCTGCTTCACTTTGTCACAAGTGCTGAAATGCTGTCCAAAGAAAGATTTATTTCTTATGCAATTTCACGACAGGTCATGCGTCGATTATCCAGAATCAGGCATTCCAACTGCTGAATGTTCACAGGAATGACTGCTGTGGGCTGGGAACCACCACGGCCGGAATCATCCCTGACGGACGTATGGACATCTTTGAAATGTTTACACCATTCGAATTTCTTTTTGCAGCTGAGCATCTCATCACCGTACTGTGCTTGAAGTCTTCTGTCTCCTTGGGTTTTACACCTTTGTTCAGAAGAAACTTCATCACCACACTTCTGTCTCCTTGGGTTTTACACCTTCGTTCACAAGAAACTTCATCACCACACACTGCTCCATGTAGGCACTAACACTGTTGCCTGCCATCTTGATTAACGGTCTCTGGACTGATTCACAGGAATGACTGCTGTAGGCTGGGAACCACCAATGATGTATGTACGGCCATCTTGGAAATGACTACACCATTCAAATGTCTTACTACGACTGAGCGTCTCATCACCATACTGTGCTTACACTTTCGTTCACAAGAAACTTCACCACCACATGCTGTTCCATGCATGCAGTATCACTGTTGTCTGCCATCTTGGTTAACAGCTTCTGAACTGGCTCACAACATGTGCGCCGCCTATCAGTAATAGGAAACATTTGCCACTTACCACTGCTAGCATCCCTTTTTATACCTGCAAAATTAAAAGTCCTGGTTTGACTTGAACGTCCCTCATATATATAATGCCTAAAATATAGATTTGGGTTTACATACACTTCCATACCCTTTAAAAGGAACCCTGTACTAAAAAAAAAAGATATGTAAACAGATAAACATGACCTCTCCTTTTTAAAGTGCTTTCTAAGTCACTGAATCCAAAAAAGAAGGCAGATCAGGACTTTTGACTTCATTGGTTACTTGTTTTAGGTCGATGACTAAAAAAAAATGTCAACACCTGCAACAACCAGGTGAAGAACATTTTTTAAAAAAATCTACAATAAAATTCAAAACCCTTTAGCTGCAGGTGAAACATTGCATTGAGTAAAGTATAATATAGGCTTGGTTTTCTGAGTTACTTACAAAAATAGTTCCCAACCAACTCCTGGAAGGAGTTGTATTGATTTGAGTTGCAGAGATATTTTCCTCCATCAGAATGCTGGCTTCTGCCTCACTCTTTGGAAAGCAGTGAGGCGTAGCAAGCTAATATTGATTTCCTACCATTCACTGACCATTCATGTAACATTCCACTAATTAATGACAACTAATATTATCCAGTGTAGGCTGAACATGCCATCAATGAAGGAGTCCACCAAGCTTCTCTGCAAAGGAGGTACCGCATACAATGGCAGGAGAGAAATCAGTACATGGGGGAGTAACATAGCATAGCGTGAAGATCACAGAACTCTAGACAAATGTTTAATTGTTTAATGAGAATTTGTACTATCCTTTATATTTATATATTTTTTTCAATTATCATGTCTAGGCAAATATAAGTTATTGCATATATACCATATATTTTCCACCTGTAGTCAGCAGATTGGAAAAACAAGGCTAATTAGCAGCTATTCACCAACTGATTTACTGCTATGCTCTGTATAGCCTGAATAGCTGTGAATTGAGCTGAATAGCAGGATTACAGAGTGTAGATACACAGCTAAATTATCAGAGAAGTGACATCATCCTTTCCCATAAGGTTTTCAGCTGGACAAAAACAAACAAGTTTCATGTTATCTACAAAGTTTTATGGAAGAATTGAGTATTGCCAAAAATATTGGGACACCCCTCCAAATCACTGGATCCAGATGTTCCCATCACCTCCATGGCCACAGGTGTATAACATCACGCACCTAGGTATGCAGACTGCTTCTACAAACAATAGGTCGCTCTCAGGAGCTCAGTGAATTCAAGCGTGGTACCGTGATAGGTTGTCCATCTGTAAAATTTCTTTGCTACTAAATATTCTACAGTTAACTGTTAGTGGTATTATAACAAAGCCGAAGCAACTGGGAACAACAGCAACTCAGCCAAGAAGTGGAAGGTCACATAAAATGACAGAGCAGGGTAAGCACATGCTGAAGTGCACATTGCGCAGAAGTTGCCAACTGTCTTAGCTAAAATCAATAGCTAAAGACCTCCAAACTTCATGTGTCCTTCAGATTAGCACAACAAGAGTGCATAGAAAGCTTCATGGAATGGGTTTGCCATGGACAAGCAGCATCAACCAAGCCTTACATCACCAAGTGCAATGCAAAGCGTCTGATGCAGTGGTGTAAAGTACACCACCACTGGACTCTAGAGCAATGGAGATGTGTTCTCTGGAGTGACGAATCAAGCTTCTCTGTCTGGTAATCTGATGTGTCTGGGTTTGGTGGTTGCCAGAATGGTACTTGCCTGACTGCATTGTGCCAAGTGTAAAGTGTGGTGGAGGGGGGATTATGGTGTGGGGTTTTTTTCAGGGGTTGGGCTTGGCCCCTTAGTTCCAGTGAAGGGAACTTTTAAGGCATCAGCAAACCAAGACATTTTGGACAATTTCATGCTCCCAACTTTGTGGGAACAGTTTGGGGATGGCCCCTTCCTGTTTCAACATAACCAGTGCACAAAACAAGGTCCATAAAGACATGGATGAGCGAGTTTGGGGTGGAGGAACTTGACTGGCCTGAGTCCTGATCTCAACCCGATAGAACACCTTTGGGATAAATTAGAGCAGAGACTGCGAGCCAGGCCTTCTCGTCCAAAATCAGTGCCTGACCTCACAAATGCGCTTCTGGAAGAATGGTCAAACATTCTTATAGACACACTCCTACACCTTGTGGACAGCCTTCCCAGAAGAGTTGAAGCTGTTATAGCTGTAAAGGTGGGCCAACTCCATATTGAACTTTATAGACTAAGACTGGGATGCCATTAAAGTTCATGTGTGTGTAAAGGCAGGCGTCCCAATACTTTTGGCTACATAGTGTGTGTGTGTAATATTATACACACAATGTTTGTAGAAGCAGTCTGCATGCCTAGGTGCTTGATTTTATACACCCGTGGCCATGGAGGAGGTGATTGATTGGAACACCTGAATCCAATGATTTGGAGGGGTATCCCAATATGTTTGGCAATATAATATGTGTGTGTGTATATATATATATATATATATATATATATATATATATATATATATTTGCTGGTTATATCATTATGCCATTCAGGGACTATGTTTTCCCCCTAGTGCCCAGTACAGGGGCTGCTGCATCACTACCTGTTAGCAGAGTGGATCCAGTAGTTTGTCTTCCCCTGACAGCAGATGATCTAGGGACCTGTAGTCCTATAGCCAATACATTCTGTACTCCTGAGCTCTGATTGAACTACAACTACCAGAGTCTGGAGAAGCAGATCAATACTATAGCAAGGAACTGGCTTACTCTCTTGGCATGGGGTTCAGAACTGAATACAAATACTGTTGTTCTCCAGAGATAGATTGTTGGATTACTGCTGTGGAACTCTGCACATCAGTTCAGCACAGCAGTGACTCCAATCGCCACATCAGGATCACCTTTTTTGCATCAGGACTGTCACTATCTGGTTTTCACACAGACATCTCTGCATGCTGCACTGACAGGCCTTCAGGCAGCAACTCTGCACTTCCCAATGCAATCTGCCAAGAGCCTGGGCAAGAACTCTGTTCCCTTGGAGATTGTGCTATTCATGGGGTTGGTGAGCGAGTGGATGCCCAGCCTCTGTCAGTCATTGATCTACAGACACTGCATGCAGACACCTTTATACCTCAATTACCAAGAAACCTTTGCTTTGAGCAGTACCACAGCCTGCTTAACTTCATTGAATTACCAATATTCACTACTGTTTATGGGCTCCACCATTGCTAGCAGAAGACAACGGACACCACCATATTAGGAACTTTAAACATCACAGGACTCAAGTTGCAATCTCTGCTTAAAGGGACCTCTTCTCTTATAAGGCCATCATTATTCAAATTAGGATACTTATATATATTTATACATTTACATAATCCTCTGCATCCACCATTGTGGTATTGGTAGCCTTGGGGGAGCCTAATGAGCCTATAAGTCAACAAACCTTTTCTTCTCCCTCTTACTCCTGGTGTTGCAGTTTAATAGTTGAAGCGTACTACTCTTGACTGTATGATTCGTTAACTGTTGTTAACTGATCATTCCTATTTTACCAGTGTTCTATTTTTTGTGTGTTAACTGGGGTTGTATATCCTAAACCTATTATTCTTGTGGTCTGCTCTTATGAACAAGACTAATATAGAGGTGTTACTAAAGAATTGTGTCTCTTGCATTATTGTCCTATACTGATGAAATATGTCTGAACCTACAGTGTCAGAGGTGTCAGGAGGCTTGCAAGGTCAGGGCAACCACTTAGGACAAGCATTATCATGCGGCCCCTGTATATCTAACTAGTAAATACTGAATAAATGAACTAAACTTTGTTTCCTTTGATATGGCAGTATGCGATGTAGCCCACAGCAAGCAATCAGAAATCATGTCACTGTTCTGAACTAATGGATCTAAAGTTTTCCTAAATAAGACAGATGATATACAAAGTAGTTTCGTTGAAGTATTCAGCCTAATCACTATATAGAATTTTTGATTAGAGTAACTTATAATTATGAAAGACCTGTCACAGCTAAGCAAATTACAGTTAATGTGGAAGGACTGATGGGCTGGGGAGAGAAGGAAAGGAAAGAAAAGGAAAGGAAAGGAAAGATGAAGGAGCAAGTTATAGCACGAACATACAATAAGTATCAGTACCATGTTTACCGTACTCTTTATGATCATATTCAAAAATATTTTAAAGTATATCTAAAGCAAAAACCTTCTTTCAATAGATTGTTAAGGGTAAGATCCCCTGTCAGATTTTTTATTGTTTTCTGTGTCTTTGCTGTGGAAATCTGCCTTCTCTACTTGTCCTGGTGACCCTTAAGACTGAAACTGGAAATGAGGGAAAATCCAAAATTCCTGAAGAGGAATAGAGGGGAAATCCTGTAATGGGGACCCTTGTTCTGGTGACAACCGACTAAGAAGAGAATTTTCTCAATTTGAAGCGATTGCCGCCTGTTACCTTCTGTGTTTCTAGGGAAGAAAGTGAGGTGAAAAACTTGAGCCCAGGGGCGGACTGACAACTCATGGGGCCCCCGGGCAATAGGGGATCATGGGGCCCCTGTGTCCTTGCCCAAACTCAAAAAAAAGCTTATGAAAAAGGTACCAGGGGCATGTCATGGGGCCCCCTACTGACCCCGGGCCCTCGGGCACTGCCCAAGTTTCCAAATGGTCAGTCTGCCCCTGCTTGAGCCTGATGGTGCCCAATCAGGGAGAGACCATACACACAGTTCTTAGTGTTATAGTTATCTTGT